ACGAACCTTATTATGCTCCGCCTGCGACCTTGCCGAGCGCCCGCTCGATGTTGGACGAGGTGTCGATGTAGAGGAGCTGGTCGTACAGCTTTGCGTCCGCGTAGTAGAACTTGCTGATGACACCGCAAAGTTTGAGGTCGAGCTGGACGGCGAGCGAAGGTGTCGGAATGAAGTCTCGGCACTCGACGTTGCCGCAGAAGAAGCCGTGTTCCGAGAGCATGCCGGCTGGCAGAAAAGCGCAGTCGGCGGCTTGAGTGAGAGCGAGCGAAAGAAGTCGGGACACACCTTGTTCTCGAGGATGCCGTCGAACGGGCTGATCGTGCCGCAGGTTCGACATCGGATGCGGGACGGCTCGGCATCGGCGAAGCGCTCGGCATCCGAGATCTGCGACTGGAGCGTCTTGAACTCGCGTTCGGGCACATCGAGCGAAGTCGACTCGAAGCGCAAAGCGTCGAGACCTGTGGATGTGTGTGTCAACAGCTGCGACGCGTGAGAATGCGCGAACGCGACTTACCCAGGCATTCGGCGAGACGAGCCTTCTCGGTTCCTTCGATATGCTCGCAGAGACGCTCAATGGGCGGAAGGACTTGCGTCGACAGGTAGACCTCGAAGTCTGTGGATTCGGCGTCAGCCTGTGACGCAGCGGGACGAGGGTGACGGAAACATACCAATCTTGAGCGTGGAGCCTTGTCGCCGCACGTCGTCCGGGTGATGAGCGTTGGCGGCCTGCGCCGTCTTCGTCGTCTCGCCGTTGGGCGGTACGCAGAAGATGTACGGGATGACGTCGCCGGCCTTGGCGGAGAGACCCTTGGCCTTCATCTTCAGCGCGACCTGGACGTGCGGGAGCGACTTGGCGTCGGGGTAGTCCTCCGGGTTCTTGCCGAGACGCTGGAAGAGCACAAGGTGCAAGTCAGCCTCGATAGCGAGAGGGCGGTGCGCAACGGCGCACCTTGTGGATGATGTAGTCGTCGAGAGGGTTAAAGCCGTTGCGGATCTTCTCGCCGAGGTCGGTGAGGTACTCGTGAATCTCCTCGATAACGGTCTCCGTCGCCTTGGCGAGAGGATCATGTCGAGCACGTCTCTGCGGGCGAGGGATCAGCACGAGTCGGGCAGAACGCGGTGTGCCAACGCACTTGGAGGCATCCTTCGAGAGCTTCGAGAACTCGCGACGCTTCATGTCGAAACCCTTGATCTCGGTCGTGACCTCGCCCGGTCCGCCCTTGCCGTCGTCTTCGACCTTGCGAGCGGCGTACTTCTTCTTGTTGAGGAGGAGCATGCGCTCGAAGACGGCATCACGGTCATTCTCGAGCTTCTTGTACTTGTCGTTGATGACTTTCTTGAAGTCTTCGCCAATCTTGAGCGCAGTGGCGTAGTCCGTCTGGTTCGTGTTGATCATGACTGAGTCGGTGTCACCGTAGATGACCTGTCGAGAGTAAAGGTTAGCAAGGAGATGAAGGTGAGAAGGCGAGCGAGACGCACGTTGAGCGACATGCCCTCGGCGTCAGCCTTTGTCCGCGTCAAGATCTCGCGACCCTTGAAGGTGGTGAGCGCGGCGAGAGGGCGTGCGTAGAAGCGAGACCCCTCGTAACCGAGACAGCCGTACATCGAG